AGTTTGTCTCTCTCTGTGTGTGAAACATACTGTGCAGTTGTTCCCGTTTCGTGCAAACCGAAGGGTTGGCTGCTAGTTTTAGCACACCAACACACACTCTCTCTCTCTCACACACACACACACTAATAAGACAGCGAAGCTGGATCCAGGAACAAAGCGTATCCCTTATCCTTTGCTGGAGTCAGCAAATTGACTTGAAGATGACATTCATAATAATTTTATGGCACCAAATATAAGGACGCAGCGTCTTTGAATAAGAATATACAAAAAGGGTTCTCCCACTTATCCAAAAACGGCTTCTACCTCTTCACAACGCGAAAAAATGGCAGATTGCATGAATCGTTAGAACGCCACGACACATTTTTCCGCCCGATTCACGCAGGATGTCGCCAAAAGCGCCAGTTTACATTCCCAAAGGCAGATGTGGAAGGTTTGCATTGAACTAGTTGTCCTCAGAACATTTGTAGAATGAATATGTAAAAATACCTGTAAGGGGATATTGTGTTATTAAAAAATGCATGTCTAAATTCATTTGGTGGACTGGAAATAAGAATTAATAAACACGTATAATAAAACGTCAGAATGATGATGATGTTGATGGACTAAATGCATAAAGTGTGCATACCTCAGCTAAACTGTTTCCGGGAGGAGATGATGATGATGATCGACAAAAGAAACTCTCAGCCACAGAATGCATATTACCTGTAGAGTTTGCATGGGTTTTGTAAAAACATTTTTAAAAATGTCTAAAATAGTTGCTTGCACATAATACCAGAAGAACCTCCAGATCGGCAGTCTCCTTCAATAGATTTTAGGATTGTCTGGGTTTTTTTCTGGGATGATTTTGTCTGTATTTTGATAATTGTGCATATTATGTAAAAAGATTAAAAAAAATGTTGGTGGACCCATTAATTTACCAGACATTTTTTTCTAAGCTAAAAAGATCAGTGTTTTTTTCTCCTGAATTTCATGAATTTTTACTGTTCTCTCATTGCTTGCTAAGAATAGCAACCCTGCTTTTCCTGCATCTGCGTTGCGTAGCTGTAAGGCTTTTCCTAATGTGTGTATTTATTGCTTGTACCTCTGTGCATACGTTCTGAAGCATTACGTCTGGCAGTTGAGTCATGTATCCTTTCTAATAACTATCATTCTCCGGGAATATGATCCCCTATGTATACAGTAAATTGAGACTGTAGCAAAAAACATGTTTATGTAATTGGTGAATACATTTTGGTTGTTTTTGACTTTTCGTTTGGTTTCGTTTCCTTCGAATCGAGGCTCCTTTTTGATACTTTTCATTACCGTGTACTGTGTCCATATGTTACGGATTTCTGCGAGACTATACGTCACGATTGAGAACTGTAACGGCCGTCATTATTTTCTGTATTCATGGCTTTTCACTGCTAAATAAAATAAAGGACCAAAACTAGGATTTGAAAAGCAACTGTCTACCTCCAACATCAGGGAGTTCTTACTTTTTTGTACACGTATATCTTTTATTCTACAAAGACGCAGCCTGTGGAAATGGGGCTGCATTATGCTTTTATGCAACGTGGAGGAATTCAAAGCTGGAACTCAAAAACAGCTCGGAAAAGAGAGGCGGGGGAAAAAAAACAATAAAACTTTAATAGCCGACTTACACGGCTTTGTTCCGGCTCTCGGCACCTCGAGTGTTGTTTAGACGAGGGGAGAGGAGCCGCCCATGCAGCCAGAGGTGCGCGTAATGGACGCGGCCCTTGTTCTCTGTCCTCGGCTTTGATCTGAGGAGAGCGTGGCCCGGCGCAACTTACTTGAAAAGGCTATTTTGAATGCAGTCGGGCTCTCTGAGGGGGAAACGGCACATCTTCGTGCGTATTTGCTATGATTTTGGCCCCCTGTTGAGCTGCAGCATGTTTACTTTAACGCTGAAAGCACGGCGTGAGGGAGCGGTTAATTTCCCAGAAATAATGCATAGCGTCTGGGCATCTGCATAGCGCACATATAGCCAGTCGCTGAGTCCTTTGTTAGTGACTTTGTAACCAATTAGGATTTATAATAATTAATGAATTAAAGTAATGAAGCCAACCGATAGTCCCGCCCCAAACTCACGCTATTGGTTGAGCCAAAATTTCAGACCCTTTAAACATAAAGATCGACGTTTAAACCTACAGATGTCATACTTTCAATGGTCTGTGCATTTTAAGTTAGTGTAGGAGAAAGGAATCTTAAAGCAACAGTTCACCCAAAAGAGAAAATTTGCTGAAAATGGCTACTCGCCCTCAAGGCCATCCAAGATGTAGGACCTACATGAGTTTGTTTAACAGATTTGGAGATATTTAGCATTACATAACATCACTTGCTCACCAATGGATTCTCTGCAGGGTGCTGTCAAAATGAGAGTCCAAACAGCTGATAAAAGCATAACAATAACACAACTGCAGTCCATCAATTAATGTCTCGTGAAGCGAAAAGCTGCATCCATCAAGTCGTTTTAACCAGGGTTGCAAGGTTTTTACAACAAAACCCGCCCAATTGCTACTCAAAACAACCCCAATCCCGTTTTGAGGGGGTCCCCAGCTAAAAATTGCATTCTGGGGGTAAAATACATGTTTTTGGGTTCAAATTCACATTTTAGGGGATAAATATCATGTTATTGGGGTCTCTTAAACCCACGGGCATTAAAAACAACCTGTGGCAACAGTGTTAAAGTAGCCCAATTCCGCAGGAAAACCGCGGACTTGGCAGCACTGGTTTTAACTTTAAACCATCACTTCTGGTAAAATATGCGGAAATATACGGAAAAATAATCCGTAATAACAATTCCTCCAGTGAAAAAGTCCATCCCCTTACATCAAAATCCACCAACATAGTGGTTTAGAACTGTTTCAGACTGTTTACACTTGTAAAAGGTGCTTGATCTGTGCATATTTCTCTCCTGATTCAGACAAGATCAATTTTTAACTGGAGAAACCAATTTTATGAACTCTGGAACAATGGTTTGAATTTAAAACCATCTTGATGGATTTGTTTGTATTACCAATATGCAGCTTTTCACATTACAAGATGGTAATTGATGGATTGGGTCATGTTGTGAATTATTGTTATGTTTTTATCAGCTGTTTGGACTCTCATTCTGACGGCACACATTCACTGCAGAGAATTAATTGGTGAGCAAGTGATGTAATGCTACATTTCCCAAAATCTGTTCTGAAGAAAAAACAAACTCATCTACATCTTGGATGGCCTAAGGGTGTCAATTTTAATTTTTGGGTGAACTGTTCCTTTAATATTGAAACAAAAAAAATTGTGTTGTACCTTTAAGACAAATATGCATGTGGGTGTTAAATGATCTTATTTCTTATCCTGGTTTTACTCTGATCAAACAAATGAACACTTTTCCCAAGGAAACGGCACGTTTTACTCAGGGTCAGTGCAGACAGATGTGATTTAACCTCATGCCTTTGAAATTGAAATGCGTTGACCACGAATTTGCAAAAAAATTATAAAAGGCGCGTAAAATAATAAAAGCAAACTTGTCAAAGTCACGAGCAGGTGCTCGGGCAGGCCGTGATTGAACCCAAATCCCTGGTGTGACCCGGCATTCATTTTAATGCATAACAGTTTTATCTTGACTGATGGGCCGCTCTGTCAGTGGCCTTTTACGCTGAAGGGATTCGACTTTACCACATACACCGAGCTAACAGGCCCCTGAGAATCCGTCTTTTCGCAGGTCCTCCACTGGTCACTGAGAATAATTTTGATTTTTTTTAGGTTTTGCCCAATCAAAATGCCCCCCTATGCCCGGTCTGCTGCAGTTACTCCAGCAGTTTCCGCGGTGCACTACCTCTCAGGACACTATTCTTCCGTGCTTTTTATGCACTTGGAAGTGTTTGTGAATTCAAGTGAGGGATGGTATACGACGTGCAACAAGGGCCGCTGTGTACCACACAACATCAGAGTGAGCGCAGACATTAAAGTGTGAGCCACATTACAGACCCCTCTTTCAAAGGCCATGAAATAATAATGGCTTGTGGTTAGAGGTATCCGTGAGTCACATTCGCTGCTTTTCATAAAGTGGAGGTATTTACAGAGCAATGAATAAAAGAATGGGATAGCGGTGCAAGCCTTTTCCACATGAACCGAGAGAGCTGAAATAGGTCAGCATACATTTTGTTCTTTAGGCAGAGGTGTCACATTTACTAATGTCCTAGTCCACTAATAAAAATAGCATGTACTCCTTATTGATTTAAAAAAAAGACTGTTCTGGGTTTAACGTACATCAAAATATATTAGTTAGCAGAGAAAATAATTTACATTTGTCCTTTATAAAAACAAGCAAAAGGTGGTTTATGGAAAAGGGTTCTTTAGATTTTTTAAATGTTCTTCACGCTTAAAAAATAATAAGAAGAAGAAGAACTGTTCACTGAAAGGTTCTTTAGAGAACTAAAAGTGGTTCTTCTCCTGTTAAAACCCCCCGGAACCTTTATATCTATAATATTTATTTTTAATATATATATATATATATATATATATATATATTATATATATATATATATATGTGACAATATAAAAAA